TTAACTAAAATGTGATTTGACTTTTTAAAGATTAGTTATTGGTTATATATTTGCAGGGTAGCCATGTGGTTCCAATTAAATGATATTGCTAAAAGTAATGCCACTCCTTTAATACATGGTCACAACCTTAATATTTTATCAGATGCACATTTTGTGTTCATTGAACAATATGGTTTCCATTATTTCAAATGCCTGGCACTCTCTGCCTCTGTTTTACTGACTATAGCAGAAAGCACAGAAGATAATTATAGAAGACAGTCCCCACTGTAAAATCTAATGAATGATTTCAGTGGAGATGGGTCTCAACCCAGTCTGGTTTCTCCCCTATCTTTGGGAAGTGCAGGTCTACTGCTAAGCTTTATGAATCAGGCCTACTTCTACTCATTATAGTCACTCCCACTAAGTTGTATAAACAATCTGAGAGGAGAACTGTGGTCAATTGTTACCTTGAAAAAGGGAGATTGCTAGATTGCTAGCCTTCTCAACACCTTAAGAAGGTGTTTGCAAGCAAATTTCTCTGCATCAGTTTCATAATGCATTTCCATTCCAAAGGTGTCAAGCTGTTAAAGGATCAACACATCTCCCTATTTTTTTTTCTTTCTCTCATTGGTTCCTTTTTCTTGTTTCTTTTGAGATGATGAGTCTTTTGGCTATAAGTTGATCGACTGGAAAATCTGCATTTCAAATACTGCATTATGGCAAAGCTCTATGCCATGTAGTAGTCAGAAGTTAATCAAATACTGCCCTCATCTATGTACAACTCTATTGGACTTTCTTTTTCTGGAAAATAGTTATATTTCCATTTTGCTTTGCTTTTACTTCACACCTCTTACATATATTTCTCCCGGAGTTCAGATGGGGAAGCATTGTCTTTCCATATACATATTAGTGTACAGGATTTAAATTGGGAAACACCATGATGCTAAAATTTCTGTTGTGTCAATAGGAAGATGATTTTCATCATAATCCTAGCAAGCAAGGCTTGTAGCACTAAAACTAGTTTTCCTTTAAGGAGTGGAAAAATGATGCAGTTAGTTTCTTTATTTGCTTGTTTTTAATGCAACTGGTATAACTGGCAGCGTCTGCAAAAGATGTTTTGCTATAAAATGAAGGGAAATTTCAGATAAGATTATAAAATGTCCATAGCTCAGAGAAGGAATCATTTCATAAGAACTACTTTCTCTGGGGGGCAGAAAACCGAGGGCAATACAAGAAGGAAAATTTGGGACTTATAGCATATACATACACAAAAGACTCTAGCAACATCATCTGTGGTAATAATGAGAGGTACATGAAGACAAAGACCGTATAGGTATGAAAAATGGTGATAAAGTAATATTAAATAATATTAAAACAAAAAAGAGAATGTTTTTTTCAATTTCTCAGTTGGTCTAATAAAATGTATCATTTTGGAACCAAGAGTTCTAGATTTTTGCATTTCTTTTTGTCTCAGACCAATACAGCAACCACATACACCCCTATTAAATTCTCTGCTTTTGTTTAGTAAAGACTTATTTCTAGCCTTCAATAAAATTGAAAAAATTGACCTAAGTATAACTGATGCAGCGTTATATCTGTAGACAGCATGAAATGGGAAGAGGTATGAACTATCCCATTTATCTCTATGGGATGTTGGCTGTAAAACCCACTCATTTCATAGATTTCATAGACATTAGGGCTAGAAGGGACCTCATAACATCATTGACTCCAGTCCCCTGCCCAAGGGCTGGAAGTCAGCTAGGGTCAAAGAATCCCAGCAAGATGAATGTCCAAATGTTTCTTGAAAGTGTCCAGAGTAGGTGCTTGCACCACATCTTGGGGGAGTCTGTTCCAGGCCTTGGGGGCTTGGACAGTAAAGAAGTTTTTCCTTATGTCCAGCCTGAAATGGTCTTGAAGAGGTTTGTGACCATTGGACCTTGTCATCCCCTGCTCTGCTGAACAGGTGTTCCCCCAGATCCTGATGCACACCCGTGATGTACTTACAGGCTGCCACCAGGTCACCCATGAGCCAGCGCTTTTCCAGTCTGAAGAGTCCGATGGCTCTCAGCCTCTCTTCATAAGGCCTGTTCTCCTGCCCTCTGATCATGCATGTGGCTCTCCTCTGGACTCTTTCAAGCTTCTCCACATCCTTCCTAAATTGTGGAGCCCAGAATTGAATACAGTACTCTAGCTGTGGCCTCACCAGGGTCCTTTTGTCAAGAAAGGATGTGTGGTAAAACGATAAAACTGCAGTGACCCCAGTACATCCAACTAAGCAACTCAGGCAGCTGGGGTACCTTAAATGGGTTGTTTACTGCAGTGGAGGACAGTGGGAACTCTGCTGTCCCTCCTTAGAGAGAGAAGGGCCCCCCGTATTGATGCCCTTCTGATAGTGATTAAGTAAAGGCCTTTGGCATCTCCACTTCAAGGAAAGGAAATAAGAGTTGTGGTGCAGAGGAAATAGCCTGGGAGAGGAGAACCTCATGTGTGTCATGGTGTATTCAGAGCCCAAGACGTTGTCTGAATATTGTCTATAAATAACTCTCAGATTGGAAGCTTTCCTCCCTTTCATCCTGTCTCCACCAATTCTCAACCCATATTCTGATGACCTTTAAGACTGTTTTTTTTATTTTATTTTATTTTATTTATCATCCTTATTTCCTGATTGCAGTATTTTGGGAGCCCTTCAAAGTTTCTCTTTGACATAGTCCAAGCCTATCCTAATCTATAAATTCATGGGAGTTCTTACCCCCATGTCAGTCACAGTGGACACATCAACACATGAAATTAATTTGATGCAATACACTCCTGACCAGGCCACACCATAGTTTATTGCTCCTGTGCACAGCATTTGCACATGCACCCAGGACTGCAGTTTGTTGAGCTGGGGCAAAGCATTCCCAGCCAGCAGAAGGTCCCAGGAGTCAGCCTGCCAGCCCAGGGCTTCTCTGACCCAGCTCAGTGTGTTGTGGAGGGGCTGGCTGAGGCCTGAGTGCTACAGTGTAGGACTACCTAGCAGGCAGCCTGCAGTGCAGCGCCTTCATGCCCCAGCCAGCCGCTGTCATTTGTGTATTTATGTTGGGTAGTACTAACGTATGGCAGATTTAATTAGTTTACTCCAGCCGAATAGCACTACACATATAGTGGAACTAATTAATGAGCTCCACAGTAAATGTCTCTTGTAGGTGTGCCCCATGTTCTCTTAATGGCACCCTATAACAGAATGACTCCTAAAAATACTTCAGCTGAGACCCAAATATTGTTGTTTCTAAGACAGGCAAGTAATGCATTGGGTGGTAACATAGCAGTGTGCATGTAAGATGATTCCCATTACAACAGATCATTCCTGTCTACATCACTGAGATAAAGGCTGTCAAATCAGCATTGACAAACCCTCTTTCCTGGAAGTGCATGTTCCAGAATGTACAGATTATTACTGCTGTTGTAGCAATCTGCATTTGGTATTGATTACCGGGAACCAAACATCTTTCTGATCCTTTGCTTAGGCAGGGAATATTTTTCAAATTCAATAGTCGAGCCAAAGGATTCTGTCCCTGAGAATGCCCTTGGGACCTTTAAAAAGGTTAGTGGGCATCTAAGACAGGTGACACTCAACTCCTTTGCAGACCACTTTTACTCATTAGAGTAATTCTGTAGCAGGTTGGGAAGGGCGGTGGGGGAGGTTGCTTTTTTTTTTTTCTGCTTCCCCTCCAAGTGACTTGGGGTCCAGGGTTACTTTTCAGTCTCTACTGATATCTTTTTTCTTTTTCTTTTTTTTGTTTTTCCGGTTAGTGAAAAATGGTCATGCAAAGATAGATTTGGCAGCCCAAAATTATTTCTCACACTAAGCCACCCAAGTCTTGCTTGTCTTTCATTATATCCCTGTGTGATTCACAGATTCATAGACGCTAGGGTTGGAAGGGACCTCAATAGATCTTCGAGTCTGACCCCCTGCATATGCAGGAAAGACCTTGGCCACTCTAACTGTAAAGAAGTTCTTCCTAATGTCCAGTCTAAATCTGCTCTCTGCTAGCTTGTGGCCATTATTTCTTGTAACCCCTTTGTGGTAGGACCATATGTCAAAATGTTGGCTTCCCTATCCTCTTCCACTTTTCTAGTGGTGTGTGCAAAGTATGGGACTGTTTTCATGCTGGAATAAAGGTAGACATTACATCTTTTATCCTTGTAGCTTATACTTTTGTCAGGAATCATGAACATGCTTTAAAACCACTCTGAAAGAAATGCAAAAAAATAAAATAAAAAGGAAGAGGGTGTGAGATCTACCACAATACTACTGCAAGGCACATGGGAAAATGAACTGTAGGTCAGCAATGAACACAGGAAGATTTATCACTTCTGATGTAGCGCTGTCTTCACAGCATTAGAATATTAAAGAAAGTCCATGTGTCCTAATGCAAGGTCATACAAGAAACTAACATCAGGAAAGGAAAGGAAAGGAAATGTAATTGAGATTGCATTGGCTTACTTGTTTGAAGTGGGGAACCATGTTATCTGGGGATGGGGTGGGGGGCATGTTTTGTTTGTTTTTCATGTATTATTTTATGATGCATCTTCTACTAAGTCAACCAAATACTGAATAAAATACTGTGACTTAGAAATACATTTAAGTACTGTATTTTAACTAAGATCAGATTGTATCTGAAGACAACCCTGCTCATTTTGGGGAAAAAAATAAATAGTACTTAAAAAAGAAATGCTTTGATCCTGAAGACTGTGTAGATTGCCAAAAAAATTCGGATGAGGAGGGAAAATATTATCTCGATGCATGGTTGAATGAATAAATCTTTTGCAGATTACTAATAGTCAATACTATTATCTGGAAGATTCAGATATGTTCTGTTTTGTATCAAAAATATTTACTGAAAATCACTTACAGAAATTAAGTAGTTTTACTGTAAACAGATGCTAGAAGTAGTATAAATATAATTTTTACAGAAGTATCAGTATCTGTGAAGCTTAATTGAGCAACTTTTGAATAAATGCGTTGTTTGTTTTTCCAGAGAGCACAATCAGATGAATTGGAAAAAATAGAAAAGCATAGCAAGTCATCCAAGGACAAGGAGCAGACCAAGTCTTTGGACAAACCTGAACAGTAAGGACCACTAAAAAAAAATAAATTCATGATTCTTGGGAATGTGAATACTACTTCGATTAGGGAAGCCTCCTGTACTTTAGTAACCTAAATGGAATTATTATAAAGAAGAAAATAGGAATTAAATGCATACTGTAAATGAACAACATTATTTTCTTTAATTATTCTTCCAGGTTTCTTTATGAACTTTCATTAATCCCAAACTTTTCAGAACGAGTCTTTTGTATCCTATTCCAATCAACATTTTCTGAAAGCATTTGCTCTATCCATCGCAAACTTGAATTGCTACAGAAACTGTGTGAGGTAGGTTCTGGTCCGTATAAAGGTACAGCTAGATTTTCTGATATTTAATCTTACTTGTTCAGCTGTACTCGTATTTCAAAAGTTTTCTTTTATTTACTTTAAGCACTCATTAAATCTGAAGGATAGCAGTCCTGCAGAATGGAACATTTTATGATTGTGCTTCAAGATCAAAGCAAATTTTAAGATTGGCTTTCAGTTCTGAACTATAACATCGCGAGTTTGCAGCCAATACACATCAGTCTTCAGGGAATATTGTACCTTCTGCTTTTGACAAAGCAAAATCTTCTCTCTCCATTGTTACAGCCTCTCTTATTCAACATTCCAAATGAATGCCATTTTAGCTCACTTCATATTTATGCTTTGTTTCTTGGAAGTGTCCCTTCAACAAATCTAAAGTAACCATCTAACTTAAATGATCTGGAGACAGCAATGTGTTCTTCCTAACAATAGATATAGGTTTATATACACAGATTAGTATTATGTAAAACACATGCACACTTCCCTTTTTTTTTTTTTATTAGGGATGAAATGCAGGCATTTTTGATACATTTTTCAAGACATTACTCTGAAATGCCATGGTAAAAAATTCTTGTGGATAGTATCAAATGCATAGCTGCTTTGAAGCAATATAGAATTACTTTTTGCACAGTTTGAGAGAAATATTTAAAACCTTCGGGCACACAATATTTGTGTAATGGGCTACTTTAAAAGAGAAGCAATTTTTATTTATTTTTAGAAATGCGTAATCCCTAAAGCAAGGCCCTGGATGTTCCATGTGGTCAGACTTCTGGCCTGAGTAACAGTAGAGCAAATGTACTAGGGAGCTGGAAAGTGCTGTACCCTGCCTCTGAAGTTTATTACAATGCCACCTCTTTTTCCTTTCCGTAAAGTTGATAGTAATATAAAACTTACAAATATCTGTTATTTACAATTTTAGGTGCAAAGAATTGAATTTGCTGTATGTTTAAGTAATCTGATAAGTTTTTCAACATTATAGCCACAATATTTTTGTAAAGTGCAATATACAATTAATATCTAAACCACTTAATCTGCTAAAGATTGACATCGACACATTGTTTTTAAGAAGTAATTATGTATTACTAAGCTTTTCAACAGAGAATTTGTGTGTGTGTGTGTCCTATTTTACAGACGTTGAAAAATGGGGCAGGAGTTATGCAGGTTCTGGGTTTGGTTCTTGCCTTTGGAAACTACATGAATGGTGGAAACAGGACACGAGGGCAGGCAGATGGGTTTGGACTGGACATTCTTCCAAAGCTGAAAGATGTCAAGAGCAGTGTGAGTTTATTTCAGATTTTTAGAATGATACAATTAGAATGTTGTGTTAAGTGCTGCTTTATCTCCCTTTTCTAAATAAATGGTTTGAGACTGAGTATGTAGTTAAATCTAGTATCCAACGGGAGTACAATCAACATGCTTGTGGAGGGAGTTTATTTGTAGAAATGTTTGGAAGTCTATTAGCTTTCTCATTACCAAAACGATGAACTTAGAAATAAGTCAACTTCTGATTTTATTAATGTATGTCTGAATCTCTGCAGCAGTTATTCTCAATGTTTTCAGACTCAAGGCATCCCTGAATGGACTCAAGTTACCCTTAATTAGACTCAAGGTCCACTTCAGAAAATATCACTTCTTAGTTTTCACTTGGTTTTTAACTACAGGATAATGGAGCAGTTTTTCTGTTGAAAAGAATTCAAAGACCACCACAAGTTGGAATGTTTTTAACACTATGGATTCCTTGGTGTTTATCTGGTGAATCATGTTTGAGCGTGTAACAGTGCTAAGGTTGCCTGGCACCCTGTGGCATCCTTGAAAGAATGCCAAGGAACTCCAGGGTACCATGGAACCCTGGTTAAGAATCATTGCTCTACAGATTGCATATTTACTGTTTTTTGCTTTCACTGATGAGTCTCTTCTTCAATACACCTATCTTTTACTCTTAATGGTAAGTATGAGAAGTGTGGCAGAAAGCAGGATAGAGATGCACCATCTAGACTGAATCAGAGATGCAAAAGTTTTCATGGGCAGGAGCTCACTTCATTCCATTGTTATCTGGTTAGAAAAAAGATATCTGAGCATACTTGATCAAGTTTCTTGTGTAGATTGGTTGCAGTTAGCCATGTTTCAGAAGTGGGAACCATTATAAATATATAATAAAATTAGAGAGACACATGCTAGCAAATACTGATTTTTAGAATACTTGGAAAAATGGGAAATAGATGTAGAAAAATGCCTGAGCTGTGCAATAGACATACAGAACTATCTATCTATTAGACTTCTATTAGATCTAGAAAATGACTGGCTTGTGCTGAAAAAATTGATAAAACAGGGTTCATCATATGAATCTGCATTATATGAATGACATGGAAGACATTGGAGTAATTTTATGCAAGAAGGATAGTGATGGCAAGTTTTCTATTAGTTAAAGTTGCTGAGCCTTGCTGTTTGAAGCTACACAGGAAGTTTGGGTGAAGGGGGCGACAGGTGAATTCCTGACTAAGCGTAAATTAAGGCCACTGTTATTGTGATCAGGTGATTAGATAAGAATCTCTCAAAACATTTTTATTTAAGCAAAATAAAGAATGAGAAAAAACTAAGGGCTAGATCTAATGAAGGACTTAAGCTATGCAGGTTCTGTATTGGAATACCCATTTCAATGCTGTGCCACAGCATGCTGTTTCTCAGATCCAAGGTAGTGGAGCTTTATTTGCTCAGCACTGTGGTCAAGTTAATTTACTCTGCATCACAACTGCACCTTAGCCCACATCACTGTGTTTAGATGGCTATGATACTTTTACTTTTGAAAACAGTGTGCATGGAGAAGTGGATGGTTGTATGTTTCAGCATGCTCAACCTTCAGGATCAGATACTGCACTGGAGTCCCAAAAGCCAAAATTTGATATTTAGAGGTTTTTGCCATTTGGAGAGCATTAAGATATATGCAGACATTACATGTAGATGGACCTAACTTGGGTTAGGTCAATCTAAATGCTGATTTCTGCAGAAGTTGTGGGAAGTTTAAATTGGGCAAAAAATGGCAGTCCTGATATAAATCAGTTCACCTGGGGAGGTGAACTAACTTAAATCATGAATGGGTTAGCCCAGTCTAGTCAATGTCTGCACATGTTCAACTCAGTCAATTGCCCCAGCCCTGGTGATGCACTCTTCCTATGTTCCTCCTCACCCTGACCAGACAGATTATTTTTAGCCCCCCAACCCTCCCATCCACAAGCTGACAAGCTCCCAGAGGCCCACCAGCTCCCCCACTCCTGCTGCCCTGCCTCCTTTGGACTTGTTAGCACCCCCAGTGATCTTGTACACATGTCTTCTACCCTGTCCTTACACCAGTTTCCCAGCATGGCTCCCAGCATGAGTGGACATCTGTACATCCCACTCCAGAGCTACAGTCTCACAGTTTAAGGCAAGCTGTGTGATCATAGACTGGGTACAGTGAATGTCTACACATACCCTTAGATGCTCAGACAGCTGATTCAAAAAAATGAACACACTGAAAACGTGTTTTTAGGACTAGCCAGTAGAAAAGGCATACATCTGCACTCCTGTTTGCTCTTCAGATCCAGAGCCTAGAGTCCTCTCCTGATGAGTAGGTGCCTAAAACTTGAAAAAAAAAATGAATAGGGCTTACTCTTTTTAATAAGAGGCCATATTGGAGCATTTGCAAGGGAAACAATATTTTATGCTGCACTGTATCAGAATGTTGCACTGTCTCAGTTCTGTTAAACCAGATTATTGATTTCTTATGCAATGGATAAAGTGGGAGTTCATTTCTTACCCTTAGATAATACTACCAAAGCTACTACATGCAGTTTGTGTTTTGAAAAAGCATGAAGATGTTAAGCTTGCATAGCAGTAGTTATGATAAGAGAGCATTTACTGAGCAAAATTAGTATCTGGCAAGATGATGAATAAATATATGTATGTGTACTGCCTCACAAAATACCAAGGAGCAATTTTTGGCAGTGTGGTTGTCGAGTAAGATAGAATATATGTGGATATATACTTGATAATACTTTAAATATCTAAATTAAGGGAAAAAAACAGAAAAAGGTATGAATATAGTCTATCTGTTTTTCCTAATATGTTTAAAGATTTCACTTTTTATTTAAATTCAAGACCCCCAGTAGAACAAGGTATGTCAGTATTTGTTTAGCTTTTAGCTTTGTAAGTTGTTCTTTATTCATCAATAATTTAAAGGTATGTTTAATTTTAATAGCATAATTCATTATGGAATACTGGTATCCATTCTGGAATTCTTTTGCTCTTTTAAACTCAAATAATTTTTCATAGTTTTTTGTAACATGAATACAATCTGCCATAGAATTAATACGATTTAGCAACACAAATATTGGGGTTTTTTTCTATGCAGGATAACAGCAGAAGTCTTCTATCGTATATTGTCTCATATTACTTGCGGAATTTTGATGAGGTGAGCAATAATTATCTTAGCCAATTTAAATAAATTTCTTATCAACTGCTTTATTTAGTTTTATTTTTTACATTAATTAAAGTGACTTAAATGTGTTGTGCATAAGTAATTTTCTACTATCAACTATTTGTTCTAGTGTGTAAAATGTTAGGTAATAAATTCTCTTCCTTTTAGCATGTTCAACTTAAAAAATGTTTAAGCATTCATTATATTTTTGTCAGGACGCTGGAAAAGAGCAATGCATCTTTCCTCTTCCAGAGCCACAAGACCTCTTTCAAGCTTCACAAATGAAGTTTGAAGACTTTCAAAAGGATCTTCGCAAACTAAAAAAAGATCTGCGAGGTACTATAACTACACCAAATTATAAATATATAGGCAACCTATAGTTCAGTCCTTTTTTTAAATTTTTTATTTATTTATTTTTTTTTTTGGATCATCACTATGCAGTGGTACAAAAATATTATGTAGGTTTTAATTCCTAAATTTTGTCTTGGACTCTTGACTTTATTCACTATATTGGTTGATGTTTTTAAGACTGATTGTTGTATAGTGGAATGGTGAATTTTCTCTAACAACTGAAGAATAAATTTGACCAGTGTCTTCAATAATTTAATTTGCTCTTAGTAGTCTTTGATTCATATACTTTGTGCTCAAACAATGTAGGCCTGAATATTGCTTACTAGGTGAGAAATAGTGATGAATTAAATATGTTTAATGCTGCCTTATGTAGCCCATGTTAAAAAATACATATGATGCATTTTTTTCCTTTTAGTTAAGAATTATCAAGTTCTAGGGGGAAAAACTCACCTTTTTAAATTGTAAATTTTAAAAGCCTTTTGAGAATGGTATCCCTGCTTTACTATAAGGAAGCAATTTATATCATATAACATCATTTTTATTTATTTTTTAATATTGTGAACAATTGTAATGCTCATGAATTTAGCTAAGCTAAGTAGTGGCTTGATCTGTACCAATGTAATCAGGTCAGGAACGAGGAAACTAGCTCTGGGCTGGTCATTGGCAATGTTCTTTTCTTCCCTGTGGCATGCTGTAGGCCATGGGATGTGAACTGGGGATATGCATACCCCCAGGAGTACTTAGAAAGGGTGTAGGGTGTACACGTGGATGAGCGGGGACAGAGTGCATGGTGGCAGTGTCTCCCCTGGCGTGTTTGCCTCTAACCTGGGGGAGGTGGAGGGGAAGGGACATGCTGGGTCCCACCAGCCCTATGCAGCACACTGCAGCGCCTCCCCACCCCCTCTTACAGAAGAGCTGCCAGGGTCTGAAGGGGGGGGAGAGGGGGAGTGTGTTTTGTGCCCACCTCTGGCTGCATGCAATTGGCCAGTGCAGAGCCCATCAACAGCCACAGTGTCATGACCAGGCATGGGAAAGTGGCATGACACATGGCCAAGCAAGACAGTGGTGACCACCACATATGAGCCCCCTTCCCCCCCCCCACCCTGTTCAGCCTCCCTCCCAACACCACTGCTACATGCACCCCCTGGAGGGCATGCCCCCAGATCAGCACATGGGGCAGAGCAGTCTGTGGGCTGCTGCGGGCTGGGGCTGGGGCAGCACCAAGCTGTTCCTTGTGGGGGTGTAGGGCTGGGAGGGGGTGGGGGAGGCTATGGTGAATTTTGGGGTGGCTGCAGACACGATCCCACAGCCCCTCTCTCAGTGCCACTGCTGCCCACCCTGAGTGCAGCCCAGCCATCCCCCTGCTCAGATCTGGGGGGCCCATGCCCCCCCCATGCCCACCTGGTGGGGGTGTAGCTGGGGGAGCCACTGCCTCCCTGTGCAACTCAGTCCCACACCCTACACTGGCTGTGCAGTGCCTGCCCCAGCCCCACTCCCTCCCTCACTTTCTTTGTGACTGGGCTGGGGGGTACAGATCAAGACCCCCCACAGTGCAGGAGGGAGTGGGGCAGGGGCAAATCATTCACTCATGCCTCTGCCCCACTCTCTTCTGCATGGTGGGAATTATCCCAGCCCCACTCCCTCCCTCATTGCCATATGGGGGGATGGGCAAATTGAGGCCCCCATGATGAGGGAGGAAGAAGGGCAGGAGCAGGGGCTGGGGTGAGTGAGGCCATGGCTGGGCCAGGTGATTGGACAAGCAGAGGCCCCCAGGCCTGCACTTGTCCCACCACCCGGCCCAGCCAGGGCCCCACTCACCCCAGCCCCTGCTCCTGCCTGTGCCCCCCGCTCCCTCCCTCACAGTGGGGGCCTCGGGACCTCGATCTGCCCTGCCCCCCCACAGCCCTTTCCCCTCCCAGACTTACCTGCTGTGGGGGGTGAGGATGGTTGTGCATGCATGCATACGCCTTCCAGATAATTTTTCATCTCTCTGTTTATGTAGCCCCTGCCCCAGCCCCACTTCCACTCCCTCCCCCCCTCACCATGGGGCTCTTGATCTGCCCCCTTCCTCCTTGAAAACAAGAAAATATATAAAGAGATATATGAGCTGAAACATTGAGACTGAAGGGGTACACTTGGTAAAAAAAGGTTGAAAACCCCTGCTGTAGGATGTTCTCAGTTTTATGCTTCCTTGTCTGTGAGGCTTCCATGGCTCAGGCCCATTCTAGTCTTACATTTATAATGAAAAAGATTCCAGAAAGATTCCCTTGGCAACTTGTTCCATTGCCCAATTGTTTTTACAATTAAAAAGTGTCCCCAGAGATATAATTTAAATCAGTTTTGCTAGAATTTTAAACTCATTGGCTCATGACCCACCCCTTGTGTGAAAGGAATCCATTTTTTCTCCCTCTTGATAGTAGCCTTTTGAATATTGGAAAACTGCTATCATATGCCATCTTTATCCCCATACTAGGTAAAGCCAGATTCCTTCATTCTATGGCTTACATTCCAACTCCTTTATCATCTTCATTTACTGTCTCTGTATTCTCAAGTTTTTCGACTACCTACTTAAAATGCTGTGCAACCAATCTAGACAGAGTACTCCAGCTGAAAACAGCAAAATGAGTGATGCCTGACTGAGGCACCAGACCCAGGTGCCTGCTTAGAGGAGGTGCATTAATGATAGCTGCTGCTTCTGCCACAGCTGGATTGGCCCCTGTTGCCACCACTGCTCCCCAGGGTGCAGATCCTGACTCTTCCTCCTCTACCAGCTGAGGTGAAACCAGTGTTGAATAGACTGGTCCTTACTCCCCATGCCTTGCACACAGCACTTCTGTAAAGTGAATAGAAAGGGGTCATGGTTTCATAGCCTAATAAACCTTTCTATCAGATCCATGAATTCAGGGTTTGAGCATGCAGTACAGCTATTGGTATTCCAGGCCCAGATGTCTAAGTAGCACTCCTGTTCCCCTTAGAAGAGCATTCCCAACCATCAACATCCTCCTCTTCCTGTTGTTTGGTGTAGTGCTCATGAACTCTGCTTTCCTGAAACTATTCCTGATTTCTGGTCAATGGGGTTTGTTCCTTCCATCAGTTAAGTCATCTGAGGTACTTCAGTAGTAATAATAGTACCCGTATAGAGAGCCTGAAAGCAATTATTTATATTTTTCTGCATCTGATGTACTTTGGTACTTATTCTACTTCTCATAGTTTTATTCTGTGATATATTTTACCTGTCCTTTAGTCTCTAAGGTTACTGTATACTAAGGCATGATTCATGACTCCTAACTAGCAAGTCATGGTTGTGTTTGATGCTATGTGGGATTGATATATATGCCTTCAGTCCCCCAATTTTTTTTTAATATGTATACCATTGTGTAGTTTGTGCAGATGCAGAGACACCTCTGTCTTTAGCAGGAAAGATAAACCTGCAGGACTATGCTAGGTTTTGTCATAGCTCTAGGCTCAAAAACTAAACAACCCTGCCCCAAAAATTCCTCAAGGCACCTCACGTGAACTAGAATGAAAGATTAGGGTGGAAGTGATGGCGCACACTAGCCATGCAACTGCCATTAAAAAAATATTATAAGAAGCATGTTTTCATAATATCATAGGATATGTAAAGGTTATCTTTGATGTTTTCCCATTTAGGATGTTATTTTCATACCGTATCAATATAGCGACAGCTTTGTATGATGACAAACATGAAATCAAAGCAGCATACGTTCACTGCCCAAGTAAGCTTCAGCCATGTGAAACAAGTACAGGCTGTGGCTTTCTCATTTAAGGGACTTACTCTTACCTTTATGAGCATGAATGTTTATAGGCCCTGATTCAGGAAGATGCTTTATATTTAGGCTTGTTTAAATATTTCCATAAATCCTGGATCAAATTTTCTATATATTCGTATAGACATTTCATGCCCTTTCTCTGAGAAATTTCACAAGAAGATAGCTTTGCATTGAAAAGAGCTGAAATACTCACCACCCTTATGGAATTATTGGGCTCTATGAATAAAGGACCTAAGCAACAGTATATTATTTCTCTCTTTATACCCTGACCCATCACCAGGATGCAACCTAATCTCTTTATGGCTGCTACTCCAGCCCAGAGGTTGGAAGAATGCCTATTTTGACACTGTGCCCCTTTTTTAATTTGCCATGCCACTTGAAAGGTAGCTGAAGATGCCAGGACACCACCTCCAGATTTCCCATAGCACAAACCAATTTAGTGCCACTTTAGGGTGTCTTTTAAATGTTCTTTATGGAGTGTGAAGAAACGTTCCTAAAGCCAGTCCACACCCTTCCCAGCTTTTAATATAGTTCTTCTTTGGTGCTGAATGTAATGTTTGTTATTCAGTTCACTTGAGAGAGAAAAAGTAAGGGTTTATTATAATGTCCTGTCCACACAAGAGGCCCTGACTACATACTTTTTCCTAACTGGTCATACATTGTCTTTCTCTTGGACAGGGTTCACAACATTTATGGGAAATGCAAGTTGTTTTTTTCCTGGTTTCAAGAAAAGAGGGATCCTGATGACCCTGTATGCCTTAGCACAATACTGCAGTGTCATCAGTAAATTTCATGATGACATACGTCATTTTATAGTTTGCAGTAAAAGAGACTGCTGTGTCAGAGAGATTACATCTTTGCCCTGATCTGATGCTTGAGAAAGCTGTTGTTGAAGCTAGATTAGCTGAAAGTGTCAAGAAGTAATAACACATGTGCCTGCTAAGCTTATAATCAATAATAACTGTCACTGTTTGATGACAGCTGTTAAAGAAGCGATAACCATTGCCTGAACACATGACAGACCCTCTAAATGGCCTGATAGGGACCACCTCACTAAAGGTGTACCTGTAGCAGCAGCCAGGATCTCTGCATTATCTGGAAGACATGCCTCTGCACCACAGTAAATGTCCTGTTAAAAATGCCAACTGTCCTAAAAAGTGCCAATATCCATGTACACGAACCAGCTGCTAAGAA